TTTTTTTTTGGTGCATGGATAATTTTAAACTAAAACTTTAGTTATTTAAATTTAATTCTATTCAATATTATTAATAAAATTAAATAGTAATATTAATCAATCAGTATCACACAATTTCAACATATTTAACTATTTATTTTATCAATTATTTTGAATCATCTTTTTTGTGTTTTCACGTCACGACAACTTTAATCACCATATCTTAATATATTCAGACAAAAAATCAAATTTGGACTCAATTCTTGATTTCAATTAACTTTATTTGAGATTAACTCATTTTATCAAATATCGACATAGTCAAAACACGAGTCGGGTCACGGTCCGGCCTAATGGGTCTCCGGGCTCAAAAACAAGGACCCAAACCCGACACGGACCTATGCTCGTGACGGATCAATGACCCGGTCAACCGAGCCCAGGCAAGTCGGGTTGGATCTGGGCCAGGCTGTCGTTTTTTGGGAAAAGGTACAGCATATTATTAAAAACAAGTGGAAAGCGACCCAAGCCAAGGCCATGAAATGGATGACCCTGAAATGGCCCGTCGAAAATTCAGTCCGTCCGAACCTTGGTCAATGGATTTAACCGAGTCGGGTCCGTCGACCGTGCAGCCGTGGTCATGTCTAATCCAATACATTAAATTCAATCCAAAATATTTTACTTCCGAGCACTTCCCAAAATACAACTAGATTTCAATAATGAGGCAAAACAATATAATTCGGATCACATTATATATTTCTATTCAAAGTTTGAGTTTTCTTTCATGGTTAGCAGATAATGACAGATAGATAAAACCTGTGATATTATATACTACTAGTTTGTAATACAACAATATCTAATACATGTAGTTGTAGTATTAGTATAGTACAAAACCGTGTATTATATATACAAATGTTAATTAAAAAATTACAAATCATTAAATTAATTTTTTTAATTATTAAATACTTCATAAAAATGTATTATTATTTTTATTTTAATATTCCATCTGTCACTGGCACGAGTACGCTAGGACTCGCTCGTCTTTAGTTTATTGTACTAAAAATCGGCTTAGGCGGCTAAGCGTGATTAGCCGGGTCTAGGCATTTCTAGGCGGGGCTCGACGACAAGTTTTTAGTTTTTTTTTTTAAGTATTAATTACATTATTTTGTTCTCGTGTTTTTTTTAAATATATTAATATTATTATTTGAACTTATTGTGTAGATTTATTACAAGTTGAGATAATTTTATTTTGTAGGTAATTAAAATAAATAAAAAATAAAACATTTAATCTTGATTTCTAGTCCCGCTTAGAGCTGCCTAGGCTCCACCTAGGTGCTCTAGGCGATAGACACATCGAGCACCCAGCAGTGCTTAGTGTATTCTAGAACTCTGTTGTAGTTATATAGAATAGTATTTTCTGACTCATATAATCTAATATTGCTTATCAATATTATTATATGTTTTACATAACTTTATTGTAATAATTGTATACTAATCTTATTAACTTTTTCAATTAGAATTCAAATACTTTTATACATATAGGAATATATGTGTGTATATATATATATATAGCGTGTTATAT